ATAGTATATAATATATAGTATATAGTATATCATATATCATACATCATATATCATATATCATATATACATAGTATATAATACATAATATATACCATATATCATATATAATACATTATATCGTATAAATTATATAATGTATACAATATATATAATATATAATATCTATAATATATTTTATAGATATATAATATAATGTAATATATAATATATATAATATATTATATACCAAAAAGCTAATATCAATATAATCTATATTTGATATTTAATATATATAATATCTAATATATCATACACAACATCTAATATCTAATATCTAATATCTAATATCTAATATCTAATATCTATCTAATATATATCTAATTATAGCTAATATATTATATATTATATATTATATCTAATATATTATATATTATATATTATATATTATATATTATATCTAATATATTATATATTATATATTATATATTATATATTATATAAAAGAGAAAAGATAAAATATAAAATATAAAATATAAAATATAATATCTAAAATATAAAATATAAAATATAAAATATAATATCTAAAATACAATATATAATATATTATATATACTATACCTAACAGATACATAAATATATCTAATATAAATATATCATCTAATATAAATATCTCACAATTATAATAAAACATTTAATACACAATAACGATAATAATTCTATAAATGTATATAACATAAAATCACCTATAAAATGCTATAAAATCATAATCTAAAATATATCTTTTTTATTCTCTCAGATGAATTTTTTCTCTGCAGTTTTCCTCACCGTAGAAGACGGAGGGGGGGTCGTGGAAGAAGGGATAATCGGTGCAGAACAGCAGGTAAGCGCCGTAGGACCAGGACAAGGAGTAGAAAATCAACTTCCAGGCACTCTCGGGCATCTTGGCCGCGTCTTTGGGCTGCAGCTTGCACCACTCCCCGAAAGGCTGCGGGAAAATTGGGAATTTCACCCCGGAGAACCCCCAGAGCTCAGGATTCCCGATTTTCCAGTGGGAATGAGGTCGGGGAAGGGGGAATCGGGAGGCTGGGGCGATTGGAAGTGAGGAGAAGTTGGGATTCAAGATGAATTCCTGGTGGGATCCCCGTTTTTCCATCGGGAATGAGGCCAGGGAAGGGAAAATCGGGAGGCTGGGGTTATTGGAAGTGAGGAGAAGTTGGGATTCAAGATGAATTCCCGGTGGGATTCCCATTTTTCCAGTGGGAATGAGGCCGGGGAAGTGGGAATCGGGAGGCTGGGGTGATTGGAAGTGAGGAGAAGTTGGGATTGGAATTGAATTCCTGCTGGGAGCGGAGCTCAGAGGTGCCTCCCCCACCCTGCTCGCGGCGTGGAGCCAAGAACTCATCAAATAAATTCTATAGAAAATCAAATAAAACCGGGAAAAGGCCGGAGGAGAAGCTGGAATAACATTATCCAGGGTGGAGGGAGCCGCCAGATCCCGGGAAAAAGCCTCTGGATGGGCAGGGAAAGGCTTGGCAGAGCCCTGGGCACGCTGGCACTGCCACCAGGTGCCACCAGCTCCCCACATTCCCAGCCCAAATCCCACTGGGAATTCCACGCCTCTCCCCGTGGTGCTTGGGAGCCCAAACCTCCCCAAATCTGCCCAAAATCAGGGCAGGGGGGACGGGCAGCTCTGCCTGGGCTTAATCCCAACAAAATTCCTCATCCCGGCTCCCGAGGAGCCCCCAGCCCTGGCAGGGACAAGCTGGGAATCACGGGAAAACATGGAGCAGCCTCGGGCTTTTGGGAATAAAAGGATCCAGCAAAGCACAGCCTCATTTTTTGGGGGGAATAAACTGACCCAGCACAGCATAACCTAATTTTTTTGGGAATAAAGGGGATCCAGCAAGGCTCAACCTCATTTTTTTGGGAATAAACTGACCCAGCAAGGCCCAGCTCCAGGTTCTTTGGGAATAAAGGGATCCAGCATAACACAGCCTTGTTTTTTTGGGAATAAACTGACCCAACAAGGCCCCGCCTCATTTTTTTGGGAATAAACTGACCCAGCGAGGCCCAGCCCTGGGTTTTTTGGGAATAAAGGGAGCAGGGAGTGCTGCCCTTCCCCGTGTGCTCCCAGGGGCTCCAGCAGGGAGCTTTTCCTGCCCCTCGGCGGCAGCTGAGCAATTCCAGACCCCATCCCTGATCCCCATCAGCGCCAGGACCCCTCCGGAGCCCCGGGATGTGTCCCCAAGGCAGGGGAGGGCACAGGGAAAGGTTTGGGGGAGCCAAAGCGCCGATAATTCCCAAATCCCTCCCCTCAGAACCTCCCCGGCAGCTCCAGGCGAGCTGGAGGTGAAAACAAAACTCCCGGGAGGTAACTGGACCCTGCCTGCCCCGGGTCAGCATTTTCGGATCCTAAATTAAGGCCCCAGCTGTCCCCTCGCCGTGGCTGCCCCGGAGTTTGGCCCCTCTGGCCCCTTTTCCAGGGGCTCCAATCCCAAAAGCTCTGGATTTCCCAGCCCTGGCACGTCCCACGCCGGGAGCCGCTGCCAAGGCCTGGAAAAGGCAGGAAAAAGAGGAGGAAGCTCGGAGGGGGAGCGGATAATGGGGAGACAGAAAGTTCTGGGCAAGGAGAGCGTCAATGGCAGGGACACGGGGACAGCTCAGGGGGGTCCTCAAACCCCTGCTCACCCCACGAGGGTTTGGGGTGGGAGAAACCACAGGGATCTGTGGGGTCCCTTCCCCCATCCCAGGGTGGATTTGGGATCTGAGCTCAGCCTCAAACCCCACAAGGGTTTGGGGTGAGAGGGACCACAGGGATCATCCAGCTCCAAATCCCATCCCGGGCTGGGAGCTGGCTCTGGAGCAGGCCCAGGAAGGAGGGAGGGAGCCGGCAGTGCCCGGGGGACACGGGGGGACACGATGGGGACACGGGGGGGACACACAGGACACACAGGGGACACACGGGGGTGTCCCTGGAGCTGCCCACAGGAGCCAGCTCTGCCCGTGGGGTGGGGAGGGCGGTGGGGGATGTCCTCCCATCACCCGGCTGCCGTTGCCATGGTGACGGCGCAGAGATGCTGTTGCCACGGGAGACGGAGCTGCGGCGGGAGCCGGGATCTGGCTCGGGCTGGAAGAGCCCAGGGCTCCTGGCCAGTGATGTCACGGGGCTCTGCTGAAAGGGCAGCCTCCCCCTCCTCTTCCTCCTCCTCCTCCTCCTCCTCCTCCCCCTCACGGGCTCCTCGTGACGCGCCGGGAGCGGCGGTGGGGCCGGGGCAGGAGCCGCAGAATTCCCGGCAGGATCGGGGGAAGGAGCTGGGGCTGCCCGCAGCGGCACCGAACGGCCGCGGCCGGCAGAGAACGGGGCTCAGCTCCCTCAAATCCACAGCCAGAGATCCCCAAATCCACAGCCGGGGATCCCCAAATCCACAGCCAGAGATCCCCAAATCCACAGCCGGGGATCTCCAAATCCACAGCCAGAGATCCCCAAATCCACAGCCGGGGATCTCCAAATCCACAGCCAGAGATCCCCAAATCCACAGCCGGGGATCCTCAAATCCACAGCCCGGATCCTCAAATCCACACCCAGCTCCAGGTATCCCTAAATCCACAGCCAGAGGTCTCTAAATCCACCCCCAGGCCCCGGGATCCCTGAATCCAGCCCGGATCCAGCCCCGGGAGCTCGGGAGCAGCCGGAGCAGCGGGGAGGGGGTTCTGGCTCCGCTTTGTCCCCCGCGGGCACAGCGCGTTCCCGAGGGACACAAAGGAGCGGCTGGCACGGAGCGTCCCCGGGAGCTGGCAGCGGGCAGCGGGGGACAAGCGGGGACAGCCCCGGCCCCAGCCCGGCCTCACCCGCACGGGCTCCGGACCCTGCCCGGGGCGTGCCAGGGCTGGGGGAGAGGGGGCGAGGGGCTGTGTCCCCTCCCGTGTCCCCTGTGTCCCCTCTGTCCCCTGTGTCCCCTCCCGTGTCCCCTCTGTCCCCTCTGTCCCCTGTGTCCCCTCCCGTGTCCCCTCCCGTGTCCCCTCTGTCCACTGTCCTCTGGCCCCTGTGTCCCCTGTCCCCT